TGGAGAGATGGCTCCCCAGTTAAGAGTGCTGGCTGCTCTTCCAGAGGACCTGGGTTCAATTTCCAGCACCCACATGGTGACTAGTAACCATCTACAACTCCAGTTCCAGGGGATCTGATGCCCTCTTCTGGCCTCTGCAGGCTTTACACAACACAGGTGCACTTACATACATGCAGGCAAAACACTCATACACATAAAATTATTTTTTTTTTTTGAGGCAGGGTCTCCCTGTAGCCCCAGCTGGCCTGGAACTCACTATGTAGACCAGGCTGGCCTTGAACTCACAGAGATCTGCCTGCCTCTGCCTCCTGAGTGCAGGGATTAAAGGCATGTGTCACCATGCCCAGCTCTAAATAAATATTTTTTAAAAAGAGAATCCTTAGTTGATGCATGGCCACCCTAAAAAAAGACTGTGCTTTCCAGTCTCCCTTATAGAAATCTGTACATATTGACCAAGTTCTAGTCAATGTGATGTTGATTGAAGTCATACATGCAACTCTCCTTGTCCTCTTTCTCCACTTATTGTAGCCCGATAAGACGTGATAATCTATAAAAAGAGTTCTGACAAAATAATTTCTGCAGGGCTAGAAAGATGGCTCAGCAGTTAAGAGCACTGACTGCTCTAGCAGAGGACCCGGGTTTGGTTCCCAACACCCACATGGCAGCTAACAACTGTCCATACCTCCGCAAGCATTGTACAACAGGGGTATACTTACACACATGCAGACTCATACACATAAAATATTTAAGAAATAATAATTTCTGAAACAGAACAAAGAAAAAACTGCCACAGATCTATACACAATGGTAATTTGAAAAAGCTACCCCATCAGCTGTTAGGTTATTCAAAGTATTTTTTAAAAATAAAGTAGGGACTGGAGAAATGGCTCAGTGGTTAAGAGCACTATACTGCTCTTGCAGAAGGACTGGGTTCGGGTCCCAACACCCACACTGGGCTACTCACGCTGCCTGTAACTCCAGTTCCAGGGAATCCAACACTCTTTTGGCCTCTGAGGACACCTGCACTCACATACACATAGACATACGTTCATACACATAATTTTTTTTAATCTTTAAAAAACAAAATTAAAGTAAAAATAAAGTTATCCTTCCCAACAAAAAAAAATACCTTAAACCAATACAGCAACTATGACACAAATAATTGTTTCCAGCACTGATTTTGCTTTTCTCTCACAGGACCCTGACCTACATAGGATCATACTCATGACCTACAACTATAATTTAATACTGGACTTTCAGATTTCACTAGGTACCTCATAACAGAGCAAGTAGTTGGGAAGCCATCTGGTGATGAGGGGAGAGGGGATTATATATAAAATCAACTCCAGAAGTAGTTTTCTTTCTTGTCTTTTTTAGACAGGGTCTCCCTGTAGCTCCAGCTGGCCTGGAACTCACTTTGTAGACCAGGGTGGGCTTGAACTCAGAGATCCCCCTGCCTCTGCCTCCCAAGTGCTGGGATTACAGGATGTGCCACCACGCCTGGCTCCAGAAGTATTTTTCTAACCATGCCTTCCCAAAGCTCCTAAAGTGACTAACATACAGTCTTTCAACTGAGAACTACTAACTTAAGTGTTTTCATGAAAAGTTAATTCTCAAATGGCAAGCTATCAATAAAATGTGAAAGAAAACCTCTAGGGAGGTCACAGTAGCTGTGCATTGAGTGCACACCAGCATGACTTTAAATGAGGAAGACATTGTCCTGCACATGACTAGATCAGAGTTGGCAAAAGG